CCCAACTAATTGCGGTTGAAGTATACAACATATTTTGTATTATCGCAATTAAATAGAATACTGTTAAAAAATTTCTGGAAATATGAAAAGGACTCGGTGAGATTTCTGCGGACGACCATCCTCACTTCTTCCGTGCCCATGGCGTTGTCCTTCTCCGGCGAATTCCCCCCTTTATCCTAGCCGTATCCTTCGTATCTCGCACGGGATCGGGTCAGTGACCGATCGCGGGTCCTGCGATGCGACGGACTCGCGTGATGACACGTCCGATCCTTCTTCTTACCTTGCACTCGCACGTGGTGCACTTGTCGTGGGGGTCCTGCCAGGAGCTGCCGCTGTCGTGGACGATACCGGCGTAGCTGCACGGCTGGGGACGACTAGGAACCGTGAACGAGGTGCCGTTCGCCGGCACCTCACGAGCGCAGGGATCGTCCTCGCAGCGCGGGCAGCAGTCGCCCTCCTCGGTCACGGGATTCGAGCAGGTCACCGGTGGACACTCCATCTGCCAGCAGTCTATTTCGCCGTACTGCAATAGACCGTGTGGTAATTCGCAGAAAGTTTGAAATCGGCCGTTGTAACTTTTTGTTTTAAGGAATCGCGTTATGATGGAGCTACGACATAAAGCTTGAGAGCGGAAGGGTTTAGGGTTTGTTTAAAATGTTCTTCTAATTCGTTTGTTCTATCACAGGTCTGCCGTTTGAGGACAGACGTATAGTGTAGTTCGGACAGGTTTATTACCAGGCACTCGCAAGTCTGACACTGGTATATCCAACGTTCTCCGCTTCTGAAGACTAGGTTGTGGAGTTCCTGGTGCCTGCACGACGCGGCGGGATTGCATTGAGGGCAACACTTGTCCCTGTGACTTCCCGGTGCGCTGCAGTCACATACGGGATCCTTGCAAGTGATCACACCGTCTTGGCATACGCATCTCCTGCAAGGATTTCCGGACGGCGCCAGAATCTCGCCATTGTTAACTTCACGATCTTCGAACCAGCAACCTAAAAGTACAGCGTGGCAATGTAACCAATTTTTTTTTTGGTGGTATTTTGGGTACAATTAAGAACGGTTTCAGTCGTAAGATACGAGTGCATCCTGGATAGACGCGACGAGCGAACTCACTGAGTCTGCATTCTTTTCCGGACTCGTCCAGGTCCTTCGTCGGCGGGCACACGCACTCATAACTGCCCACGGTGTTGACGCATGTCGCGGTAGGATGACACGTGTGCCTCCTCTCGATTGTTAGATTGTTGCACTCGTCGATGTCGACGCATTGCGTGCCCTGGGTACTGTCGTGCAGGGCGCTCCTGTAGCCAGATTTACACCGGCAGTAATACCACCCGGGCATGTTGAAACACGTGGACGACTGATGACACCGGTGCAGATCGCTGGCACACTCGTCCAGGTCGAGTTCGCAGCTATTGCCGATATAACCGCGCCGACAGGAACACCTTCCGGGTGCCACGCATTCGCCACCGTTCTGGCAAGTCTGATTGCACACGGCTACAAAGAAAAGACAAGTTTTGTAGTTCAGGCCTTCTTATCTTAAGGAAAAAAGATATTCTATTTATCGGCATATATAATGGACTGAGCGTTACGCGGGACGTGCCTGCACACGCTCTGAAGCGAGAGAGAAACGCAGTAGGATACGTCTGTCTCTCTCTAATGTAGGGCCGTCTTTGGACTGTCAACTACATTAGAGAAAGTTCAGACCCTGGCTGAGGTAATATTTTTCGCAATGAATTTCTTTAATTAGACTTTGCCAGCCAAGCGTCGTCAAGCAATTTTCTACATTGGTTAATCAGTTACTGGCGTTAAATAATTCTTTACATTAGAGAAAGACAGACATATCCTACTGTGTTTCTCTCTCGTTTCAGATCGTGTGCTGGCGTGTCGCGCGTAACGCTCAGTCCATTCTATATGTCGATGACGCTATTATCTCAACCCCATTTTTTTAATTGAAATTAAATTAAGATTTAATTTTCAATGAGACTTCCTGCAGTTTTCTTATTATTAGTTTAGAAATCATTTCTAAGTGCGTGCGATAAATTTTCTCTGAAAATAAAAGAGGAATTATTCGACTCCGTAATTATTCGAATATCATCTTTGAAAAGCGAATTTTTTATTTTTTCGCTTCTGATTTCTTTGCGAAGTACCTCTATGTCGGGGAAAAATAAACTCTCCCCACTTTAACAAGTTTTTTCTCACCGCTTTACTCATCGATGCGATGAAAATACCGTTGCGATTGCTTGTGTACACATTCGCTTGGAGAACGTATGTTTCAATAAAAAAAGATACGTTCGACTTCTTTCCCATTTTCAATATCGTAAGAGTCTTTAATAGAGTGTTTCACTCAATGAACGTTTCGTATAAATCGCTCACAATTTTGCATACGTAAATTTGTTTGTGAAATTGGAAATATCTAATTATATAGATTAATTATCATTAATATAAGTTTAAGTAGATGTTTTGCCAGGTTGAACCTCGGTTACTAATTAATATCGTTGCTATTGATATATAAAGGCGATATACTGTACGTTTGCATGTGAAGCCGTCGCCGATATAGCCGTCCTCGCAGATGCAGTAGTAGCTACCGTTAGTGTTCACACATGTGGCGTGCTCGTCACACAAGTGCTGACCAGTCGCGCACTCGTCCAGGTCGGCGCACTTGTAGCTGGTCGTTCTATAGTAACCCGGAAGACACTCGCACGTGTAAGAACCCAACACGTTGACGCACTTCGTGTTCGCGTTGCAATGATGACCCGATCCACCTTTCTCCTTGCATTCGTCCACGTCTGAGTGACGAGACGAAAAGAAAGTGTCAATGATGGCGAACTCAACGAAGTCGTGCGAATGCTCGCATTAATTTAAAACACAGATTTTGAGTTTAAGCGAAAGATTTGTGTGAGTAAAATGCGAAATTTTTGAATGAAGTAAGACGTTAAAAGTAAAGAAAATAGGAAATGAATTTAATAGTATAACCAATTTATATAATACAAATTATAATTATATTTAGTATCTCCCGAAAATATATTAGGAATAAAATAGAGACTGTTAATTGCAGCTTGCGAATTCATAGAGAAATAATTAATGTTGGAGAACACTCAACGTATACCGAGTGTTTTATAAAATATAAATGATTTACACAAAAGATTAAGTAATGACGAAAAAGATAACAATTTATCTTTAACTCGCTGTTAAAACCAACAATAAGCGATGCACAATTTCTTAATATTCGTCTTCAATTGAACCGAGATGGAAGGTTTTTCGCGAATCGAGCGAAGATGTTACTTGACATGAAGTTTACATGCTTCTCGTGCAAAAATGTGATGTACCTCACGATTAATTGCAAGTAAGTTAAGTAAGCGTTAAGTACCGTGACAGTTAAAACCGTCCCCTTGGAAACCCGGATTGCAACTGCAGGTGTAGGTTGTGTCGAGATTGTCGCAGGCTGCGTTAGGGTGACAGTTGTGGCCCTTCGCGCAGTAGTTCACCCCTGGTTAAATTGTGTTAGCCAGGCAAATACGAAGGACGGTTAGAAGATTTAATTAACGATTTAGCGGTTTTAGATAGAAGGCTGTCGTCTTTATTTGGCGTTAGTAACCCTCCCATGCATAACAGGCATTACAATTAATTAATAACGGGGAGCAAATCTTATGGATTGATTTTATCCCACTTTATTTGAATTAATGTAAATATTAAAATACGTGTATCAATAAGCTTATAACTTTCAATTCCATAATAATTGAAAAGAAGCAGTGGCTAACAGAAGTAATTAGTCCCTTTAGTTCTTTTCTCTGTTGTCTCTGTACATAGCCATCTATTTCTTTTAATATAACCGTATGTTTATATGGCTACGATATAATATGCATTTATTTAAAATTAGCGGAAATAAAGCAGACTTGGAAACCCATGGGAATGAAATTACACGCACGAGAGGGTTAGGGTTAAAAGTATGCGAATTATTCGAACCATGCTTTCGCTGTCCCGCAAAGCTTTGTCGCTTTTCCATGCTCGCCATTTTGTCAGATTCAATATTATAACATGCGTCATTCAAAATGTATCTGTTAAATTTCAATGTCTGAGGGTGTTCATATATTTCTTTGTTGTTTTTTTTACAAACCAACGAGTTATAAAAAAGCAATCTCTTAAAGAAATTATTAATACTGACTGTTTAAAATCGAGTTATAAAATTCCACGTGAAAGTACGAAATGCTAGATCTTTTTTTTCGGAAATATCGTGAATTTGAAATTGCGATTTCACTTTCGCATGTAGTGTTTCAAGCGAGAACGTACCTGGGCAAAACTTGCAGCATTCCTCCGCCACGCTGATTTGCTGACTGGGTGGACACGGCAGTGGTGGGCATTGGGTGTCAGTGTCGATTCTCTTGCAGGTGAAGACACCGTCGGAACAGTTGCACTCGAGGCACTGCTTCGGTGAGACCTTCTCGCCGTGATCGTAAATTACGCCGTGCAAGTAACATTGTCCTGCGGACACGAATGGCGAGATAAGTAACGTGAGGCACGAGATAGAAGCTCAACACGAAACACGCTACGTCAACTAATCAGTCAGTTGCGTGTGTGAAGGTAAAAGATGTGGATTCACGTGGAAGCGGTAACGTATTAAACTACTTAAGAGAGTTGTCCTCTCAATTGTCAAGAATTTACACGATGTTCCAGAGACACGAACTGCATGGGGTACAAGTGATATACTATTTTGTGCGCTAAGCGAACGGCTTAGAAAATAAAAAGGCAACAATAAAAATCCGAAATGTTATATGATTCTTGCTTCGAAGTTAAGTATTTAAGAATCACAATGGTTTAATGAAAATTGCTTTTTATGAAAATCTATTACGGATTGTGGGACGTTAAGGAAAGACGTTTATGAATTGGGAGATAAAGGGACGAACAAGACAGTATAATGTTCCACTTACTGAGACAAGTCGGGCAACATTCTCCCTCACGAGTGACAGGATGCTTGCAGGCGACTGGAACGCAGGGCATCGGCCTGCACTCGACCTCGCCGTGGATGCAGGAACAATGCTGACAACCCTTCATCCAGGTCGCGCCGTCCTCGTGGACGGTACCGTTCACCCTACAGGACTTTTGGCACTCGCACTCCTCCACTTTGCTTATCCTGCCCTCTGCAGCGGCTAGCTGAAAGGAAGGATGTCCATGAACAAAAACAATTTGCCTTATTTATATTTAATGGAAAAAAAACGTAACGATATATTTATCGTGCCATTACTGTACTAGAGTACCTGCTGAAAAATTGAGAATTATTTAAAACTATTTTGTGCACAGTTATACGATAAAATTATAACAATGTATGATTTACATAATTTATACAACCACGTAAGATACCGCATTGAATCTTGTATCACGTTGCTTTGACGCCAGTTTTGTGTAAACGTACAAATTACTTACCCTACGAGTTAAGTCATTGAGATTGTGCATCAGTTGTTCCACGGTATTCTGTAATATCGAAAATTGACCGCATGTGGGGCAGGATGAGTCGAGCTGAGGACACTGGGAAAGATAACCGTGAGGTCCTGCTATTAACTTGACGTCCTGCAAAGCACCCTGCGGCGCGAGAATCATACGGAAAGCTTAGTGCTAAATCATCATGTGTGTGTCAAGGTTACTAAGCTAAACGAAAATCGGATTGCCTTCTTGCTGATGATAAGTTAAATTAGGAGTACATGCTAATTTTTATGAATATTTAACTCTTCTGACTGATTAATATTAACATCAGTCTTGAATGCCGTGTTAATTAGATAGAAAAAAAAGGAATAAAAACGAATACGCGGGAAGACGTATGCTACGGTAAAACGGCTTCACCTTGAAGAGAAAGTGCCTGACGTTCCTCTGTCCTACCCAGAGCTGGAGCTGCGGCAGGGTGAAATTGGTGTCGGGTGGACCAGGTCTCAGCAGCCGCCTGTACAAGGGGTGACAGTCGACCAGCAGCTCGACCTGCGAGCCGCTTATGCTCAGGGCGACCCTGTGCCAGACGCCGTCGGCCAGTCGGAAAGGAAACGCCTCGACGTGTACGGTTCCGTCGCGGCGTGATACGTAATGAAGTCGAAGCTCGTCCTTACGTCCGCTGCTCTGCAGCTCCAAGTACCTGACGCACATTGCATTCTACTTATTGTCGATTATAAATTTGTAGGTACAACTATACAGGATTTAAACTAGAATTACTGTAATATCGCAGTTACATCGTGTGTACTCTCTAAAGTTTTTGAAGCGAAAATAGAACCATGGAGTGAAATATTCACTGTATTGGAGCAAATATTTGCTCTATTAGAGCGAATATTTACATAGAGTGAAATATTCGCAATATTAGAGTATTCACCCTAATATTTGTGGCGAGCGTGGCGCAGAGAAATGCGCGCTGCTCAGTAAATAAATAAACGGAAAGATCCGAGTTGAAATCCAGCCACGGACACCGCTGGTTTTTTCAAACGCCGCTTCTCGAAGGAAAGTGGCAAACCACCGAGTGCCTTGCCACACATGCCCCTTTACGGGTATAGCCCTCCAGGTTGGAGGTTTGTCAATTGTTGTTCGCATCGTCACTTAATAAAATGATTTTTAGTGGCCCTGGGTAGCTCAGTTGGAAGAGCATTCGCCCGGCAAGCGGAAGGTCCCAGGTTCGCATCCTAGTCTAATCCTAGTTCGTTATTTTTCCTCGCAGAAAATTAATAAGTAGCGCGTCTTAGTGCCTACCTCCCTATTTATTATGGAGTATTCACTCTAATATTTGTTCCAATAGAGTGAATATTTCGCTCCATGATTCTATTTTCACTCCAAAACTTTAGAGAGTAATATTTTAAACTGAATTAAGTGTATTACGGTCCCGAGTCGAAATTTTGGCCCTATGTTGGACCTTTAATTCTATTATATAGTAGGACCTAAGACAGTAAAAAAAGGCCGAACTGCAAGTACAAAATTTACTCCTACTTTAAAACTGATAGTGTCGGAAATTGCTACTTTTACCAATTTAGCATTAAAGTAGGTCCTTTTAAGTAGGAGCTAAAGTAAAGTTTTAGAATTAAAGATTCAAGAGAGGAGTAAAAAAATATAATGTCATCAAAGTAGGTTAGTGCTGGTCTGGGTAGGTGTATAGATCAGCTAAGTAGGCGTAAATTATCCTTAAAAGTATCAAAATAGTACCAAAACTTCGACTCGGGATACTGCATCTTTTAATATTATCTGGCATCTTGTTGATTACAAATATTTCGGTTCGTTTCTCCGTTACTAGTGTCACAATGATAACGGTATAATAATTTTGAAATTCTATCAAGAGCGATTTAATTTACGTAACAATCTGGATTCACGTGCTTATAGCAAGACAATTAATTTACGCTGTCGCCGCTAACGGGACGTACTTACAGGCGACGCGTAATTAAGTTCTGGGAAATTTATTGGCCTTTAAGGAGCTTATTGAGTTTTCGTCTATATTGATCATAGTTGCGGCACGTTAATTTATGCCGTGCAATATACACGAGCGCGAGTCTATCCAATTTGTGTCAGCTAGGCGATAACAGGTAGACCGCATTCTCGGAGTACCGGCGAAGGATGCGGTATTGAGCCGAGTGCTCCTTCACTCTCGCTCGACAATTGACACACTAACTTCTTTTATCGCCGATGCATACCGACAAAGCTGCGGAGCTGAGAAATATAAAACTGAGAAGCAATTTTTAACAAAGCGACGAGAGACGAGAAACAAAATGCGCACAGCCACACGCTGTAATTGTTGCTTGACAATCTCGCTGCGATAATATTATTCAACCGTAAAGGCTCTTTATTGTCCGAGCGGGGTAATAATTCTTTGTCCTAGTTATATGCACCGAGTAATGCAGACGTCGTTATTTCAAATATAAACGACAGCGGAATTCTCGTGCTGCGTGCGTTAAGGCAGGATGATATCATCAAATAGTAAAATGCAGACTATTCCACGGTTACTCGTGAAAGATGTATCGTAATGCAACTTGCGAATTCTAATGGTCCGTTAAAACATCATCTCTTATATTTCACGCACGAGCACATGTGCATATATATTTTGCGATACATTCTATAAAATAACATGCTCGAAAGGGACTTTTCTTCTCCGCACGCGGCTTATATCTACATGACATTCTCGTCGTTTGAAATAGGTCACAGCTCATTGTTTGTCCCAGCGACCGAGCCCCGAAATTCCCGAACGGCGTTGCAAAACGGTGGGAGGGGAGGGGAGAACTTTTCGTACCTATTGTTCCCGTGCGAAAAGGCGACGATCGTCCCGGAATTGGCCTCCTCCTGGCGCAGCGCGGCGGCTATAGTGAATTCCGGAACCCGCCGGAGTAGCGCGGCCGCCCGTTCGAAGTTCTCCTCGTTCAGTCGGAGCTCCCTCTCCTCGCCTGGAAGTAGTAAAACACGATGATCGGTGCGGCAAGACACGCGGCTGCCCGTGTGTGCTCTGTATATTTTATGCTCTGCCTGCAGGAGTAACCGATATACCGAATTCTTTTCAACGCTTTCCAAGTTCTACCCAAACTCTACCGCAATTAGATAGATTGAAACGAATATATATGTAGCTTATACGCCATCAGATAGGTACATGAGGATTTTGGGAAGTTGTATGCGGCCGTGTAGTAGTCCGTGGAAAGGCCTGTCGCATGCCGTGCTCGAAATCGATGCGGGGCTGATTTGAATTTTTAACCTTCCAGGTAAGGTTGAGAACCGCCTTCCGGTAAGCGGCTCGCCGCGAATTTAGAGCACGGCGAGCGATCATTATTTACAATATTGTGGCGGAGGATGTGCTTCTCAGTCGTTCTGGGAGAGGAAGCGGTATTGAAATTTAATAATGCAATCATTGAGCCAGCACATGTGGGTTCTTAAAAAGTACTGTTTAAAGCGGAGTCGTATATATTTGTGACTACTGTTCACTCCAGAATTTATTGTAATTGAGAGAGAGAGTGTGTGTGTGTGTGTGTGCGCGCGCGTTTATTCGTATAGTACAGCGAGCGATCGATGCTAAGAATTAATTATACAATATCTCTCCAAACATGTACATATCCTCTTGAACAAGAGCTATACATATAAAATACCGTTTAATTACTAATATCCTTTTTCTTAATAACGAGTAACAATGTTATATATATTTAATCATTATTCAGTCTGCTTTTAAACAAATAATAGACGTTATACTGGATACTAAATTTCTTTAGTGCACAGTTTTTCACGAAAACCTGAGAAAATTTTACGAAAACTACACAACTTTTTATCATGTTGCGCTATTTTTCCTTGACGCCAATAATCGAGGCGGTAAACAGCAAGAGAACTCCATCCACGAAGTTGCTGTGAAACAACAACACTTTTAATGTTACGTAAAGCGCCATACTTTAAAACGGGACAGACGAATCGTCTGCTGACTGCAGTAATGCGAGAACTGGACTATCGACTCGTCGATAGAGATTAGAGCACAGCGATGTAGGCCACCCCGAATTTTTGGAGGGTAGGTGGTCGCAGATTCTCTGCGCACCCGTTACGTAATCGTATTGATGTGAAAACCTATTGTTCGCAACCTCCGGATATTTTTATTCACGAAAATACATTTAACGAGAACGAATGATCCAATAGCGAAATCATTTGACAAAGTGGAATATTCAACAAATAATTGTGCCTGTTAAAAAGTTTGCTCTTGTCACATAATTTCATATAATTCACGTGAGTTTAATATGAATTTAATAGTACACTGATAAAAAGAATATTTTAATCCGAAAAAATATTACTTTACTCAACACAATTATTCATTAGGTGGCTCCTAATAGTTTATTAACTTAAATTTAAAAAATAACAAACAAATTGAAACATGCATTGCTTTAATTTAAGTATTTATTAAATAGCAAAGAATATATAATTTTTAATTAAAAACATTTTATTTTAATTCTCTAAAATGTTTATTAAGATGTAATTTTCTTTATTTGAATGTAGAAAATGTAATGATTTAAATTGATTTGCTTAATATAATACATAGATGTATTTGAAATCGTGGCGATCGTGCCGCAGAGGATTGTGCGCTGGTCTGGTAATCCGAAGGGTTCAAAACCAAACAAAACATTGTTGGTTTTTCGTTCGATCGCCACATATAGAAGTAGATATAGAAAGAGGTTTGGGCACGTTCCTTCAAAAACGCTTTGTTGTAACCGTAAGGAGAATCAATAAAATGTATTTACATGAGTCTTCTTTTACGTGAGAATTGTGAGCGATATAATTATAATTATAAATGAGAGCATTAAAAACTTATAGAATATTTTATTTGTCATAGACTTCCGTTTTAAAATACCTTGGTATGTGATTTATACGATAATTATCTAAAGTTCCAAAAAAATGACATTATATTTAGCAGAAAGGTAATAGAAATATCCTACAGTTTTTAATAAATATTGTCCTACTTCGTAGATAAAAAAAACCATTTTAATGTTCTATCATTATCGGGGCTCGCGATGTGCAAATCGATCATAGCCATACTTTGTGCATATTCAATTAACACGTCGCGTCCGAATGGTTGCTGCTTGTCCGAGTAGCTATCCATTAGACAGATTAATACGGCCATTTGGCAAATTACACCGCAACTAAGCCACTGCAATCGACAATCCTGGTGTCCGTCTATCGCGGCTTCAATATCATTGTCATTAAGCGAACTGGTGTAATGTGTCACGTACAAACGAGAAATCCCGCAGCTGTGCACACACAATCAGAAGATGAATATAATAGGAAATAGGTTTGTCTTTCGGAATTGGGTTTTTAAATTTTTGATTCATCTCTCTCTCTCTCTCTCTCTCTCTCTCTCTCTCTCTCTCTCTCTCTCTTCACATTTAATTGCGCCCACGCGTACAATTTTAAACCTAACAGTTAAATAAATTAGTAAGGCTCGTATGTGTTAAACACAAATTTCAAAGAATTTAGGTGATATTTTTTCGCAATAAATTTAGAATAGAATATTTAGACACTACCACCCTGTCACGGCTCTGAGTCCTTTAAATTCTTTGAAATTTCTAACAGTTAAACTTTGAATCTCCCGGTCGGTTTAGCGAATAAATCAAGATTTAACCTAAGTCGAAATTTTGTCCCTATGTTGAACCTTTAATTCTATTATACAGCAGGACTTAAGACAGTAAAAGAGGTTGAACTGCAAGTACAAAATTTACTCCCTATTTTAAAACTGATAGTGTCGGAGATTTCTACTTTTGTCAATTTTAAGTAGGAGCTAAAGTAAATTTTTATAATTAAAGATTCTAGGGAGGAATAAAAAAATATAATGTCATCAAAGTACCAAAATTTCAACTCGGAAAATTACAATTAAAAAAATCGTCTTTTCTAAAAAATTTTTGGGTATTTTCCTGGCGAAGGTTCCAATGCCTCGCGGCTCGGTTTTAACGCAGCGATGCTCGGTCTCCTTTCACGAAAAGGAGCTGTCCAAATAAGGGACACCTCATTACACGACTGCCGCGTGCAAAATGCTAACGGACTGCCGCTGGCTGGCTTCTCGCGGCGCAAAGTGCGCTTCGAATTTCAGATGCGGCGCCGGTGCGCATAGAGTAACGGGACACCCGACCGATAATAAAACGTCGGTGCCTTTCTGCCCATGGGTCTTGCCACCTACGACGACGGAGCGAGGGGCCCGCCGATCCGCGGCTACGACGTCGTCGAGCAATTACGTACGCGCACGCTTAATTATAATGTAATACCACCGGCTTGGGTGAGCGGAGGAGAAAGGTAGGCCGACCGGCGAGGAAGCACCCCCTTACCTTGCTTGTTCGCCTCGAAGGAAATCGTTCCGCGTGAATTGGCACGCACGAGCCAACCCTTGCACTCGAGCTGACACGGGCAGAAACCATAATTTGACCGTGAAATTTTGTTTTCGCTACGCGAAGACTGGCTGCAGTTTCGAGCAGCGGAAAAATGATCGTTTCCTGTGGGGTAGGCTAGCCAGGGTTTTAACATTATTTACCCCTCGCGCATTAGTGCATTGCGGAAATAAGGAGAGCATTCGAAACGTTTGCAAAGAACGTTGAAAAATCTTACGTTTCCGATTTCGATGAAACTCGACAGATTCGACGGGCGAAATAGTCGTTTGGCGTTTCTTTTTCGCTGACATTCGAATTGCGCTAGCGTGACGTTACGAGACGACGCTCTTCTTTCGTTCTTTGTTATTAACAATGAAATAAGTTGAAGTCAAAATTTTATCTTTAATATTATTTGCATGTGTGTCTGAAACCATTGTATTAATATCACTAGTATAATATATCGCTCCAAGTCGGAGCAACTTATAAAATTTACAAGCAATCGATAGACATCGTCCAAACGCGACAACGCAAACTCGCGTGTCTCGATCTAATCAATTTATGATAGCGTCGTAAAATATTTATAAAACGATTAAATCTCTCTTTTACTCTTTCTCCCTCTCCCCCCCTCTCTCTCTCTCTCTCTCTCTCTTTCGGCGTCTATATTCTATGACTCCATCGTGAGAATTACATAAGCATCAAAGGGGGAAATATTTATTGCCGATATGAAATGCCACTTTATTCAGGACATCACAAAGAATAAAGAAACTCTGAGAGATTGGTGATAAATGAGATATGAATACTCGTGTCAGAATTTCGTGGTTGCTCCAATCGAATCGACGAAATCATCAGATCGTACTACCCCTTATCCAAGCATAAAAGAGGGTCGCTAGATCCCATTTTCCAAGTTCAGAGAAAACTCCGGCACGTGTCGCTGTATATCATCCTCGTCCTTTGTCCTGCGGCAAATGTTCTTGTTAAGATCCAACGGTTCATATGAGATAAATCTAATCCCGAAGAAGTTTCTCTTTCCTGTGTGTTCATCCAGAATGATCGAAATGGGGTGGGAGGCTTAAATGGGAAACTATGCGGCAGCGAGAGATAAAGATATTATAGGGCGAACATTTTCCCCCCATTGCTGTCTATTTGTTTTTTTTATAGATAAAGTTAAGAAATTTTCTTTCAGCAACTGGAACTGTTCGCAATAAATGGATCTTTAATTATTTATTTTAAAATTAAACTAATATTATAATTTTGAGACCGATTTTATAAACGTCTATTGACTGAGTCTCCAGTGTATTAGTACGATTGCTTTTCAAGGTCTACATTTAAAATACAAAATGGTATAAGTAGTTTAATTATCGGTAGGTCAATTTTCATCCGTCCTCATTAACCGAAGAATTAAATCGTCGTTCTCAATCTGCGATAGAAATATTTGTCATTCATCGCTCCTCACCTTTCGAATTAGATGGCGAGAATTCGATGGATTGAAACAAACGGCGAGGGCATAAGGAAGAAACTGTATTACCGATTACATCTGGGATCCCTCTAATACGAGGGGGGGGGAGGAGGAGGAGGAAACGTGCGTGCGAGAGCAAACGAAGATAGGCGGCGGGAGAGCAGGAGCGTCAAGGACTCGCAGACGATATGAGGAACAAAAAGGGATTCCCCCTTGCATTCCCGTGTTGCGAGCCACGAAGAGCCTTTGCCTAACTTCCACGAAAGCGTTCTAGGAGGGTGCAGCACGGGGAAGGGCGTCTCGGTGTAATTGAAATTTCTTTCGGGGAAACCCTCCCGCGGCACGACTTCAACCCCCCACTCTCTCCCCCTGCCCCCAGGCCCGCTTTCCGCGGCCGTTGCACTGCCGCCCACGCATCCACGTGGCTTGGACACCACCCGCCGCCGAAGGGCGCGGGGATGCCCCGATATAATTGGATACACCATGTTACGGGGTTGAATAGACGACGGGCTCGTCGATGCGAAGGGTCGCCCGTTTAACGGGAACATCGTTTAACTCCTTCGAGCGCGATCAGTCTCAAAAAGCATATAATATGTGTATACATGCTGCGTCACGTGAAAAAGTTAAGTACAAAACTGACAAATTGATAATTGTTTGTATTTATTTGCCGTATTGTTTTCAAACAAAGCGAATCCTCGATATTCATCGGCTGTCGAAAATAACTACGAAACGAGTGACTTCCTGAAATTCGAGGGAACAATCGATACTCGTCATAGGGGAATACCCTCTCGGGCGTCTGCGAGCGGAGACGACGCGTAGGCGGTGCTATCAAACTGACCTTTCGCAATATCGATTAATCGCACGTTGCATAACCAGCATCGTGTAATGAGAGGCAAATGCATCCATCAAGAGACAACGTGTTTTCGCCTGCTTGTCGTTCGTCATTTTTCAAGGAACTAATTTCGGAACAGGATCCTCCATTGAATTGTAAATTAACCGTAAATCATGCATTTCGGTTACGGCGCTACAGGGCATTAAATTAAGAAGATACGGAAAATCTATCTAAAAATTACATAAACGTATACTCCACATTTTGCGGATTGTTGCTGAGTGCGTAAACCTTTTTCTGAATGTCGTAATGTATAAAACGTGATACCGTTGTAATATTAAATCAGAAATTTCTTGGATAAGAATTCTTATTTCGAGATAATTTGCTTTGTATCCTCTTATCTATTGTGCCGCCGTTCTCGACTTAATTTCTGAGGTGACTCCATGAACACGGAGATAAATGCTTTATAATTCAAAGATTGCAATCCTCGTCTTTACGAGACATAATAATTGCAATGTGTGCTACACAGCGAGGAGCGAGAGGAGAATCGTTCGCATAAAGACCACCCCGGCGATATGCAAATTAACAGAGTATTCGGGTTAAGAGAGCATTACCGAAGTGGCAGCTTCGTGTACGAGCCACGATTTATCACGTAATATATGTTGCAACTCTGAAGGGGTGTGAATCAAATAAAAGGCTTTATTTTCCGTCATATGCAACGTGTTTAATCCACTTCTTATTATTCTTTTTAAATATTAAAACAGTAAGATAAATTTTTAATGTTGCATCCATTCTAAGGCAACTTTCTATTGAGAAATTGAATTGTCTGCGGGAAATTTAATTCGAATCCGTAGAAAAAAAGAAAAATGATGTTCGATTATTATTGATTCTTTTGTACGTGATATCAATAATTTAAGATTACTATTTTGCAGTGTCCAAAAGCTTCCTTTGTCAGATCAATCTCACGTAGACGATGATTAAAGATTTTGAGAGTGCATATTTCGGATAAAAGGCGAGCGAGATCGAAAATACCAAACAAAGTTGACTCACCCTGAAGATAATAGGCTGGTCTCAGTCTAACCAGACCCGGCACCTGCGTAACGCCCTGTCGAGTAGTATTGTGAAGCTGCAGGGCTGTTAATAGATCTATACCTCCTCCAGGATCGCTTCCTGTCCTTGTTCTCGTGCCGAGGACTACGGTAGTTCCTTCTGTGACCGAAGATACCGCCGTCTCTTCCTCTTTCTTATTCGTCGTTCCAGACACTGAAACAGTCAATTTAAGACATTCGTTAAAGAGTCAACAGTGTGATTATTGTTGTTGATAATATTAAGAAGGTGGCGCTAAATTTAATTAAAAGGATTGACGACAAAATGTATCATAGTCGAAATGAAGATACAACCAATTAAGCGGTTAGAAACTTTGTGGCGATTGTAGCGCAGAAAGCTGCGCGCTGCTCTAGTGGTCTGAAGACCCGAGTTCAAATCCGATCAGAAATTGTCGATTTTTATTCGATTGCCACCTCTCGGGAGGAAGTGGTAACCTCCTGGGAGTATCTTACCCCTTCTGTATGATATATAGGGGAGTCTAACGCTACAAGATCGAAGCGCAATTGGCAAATCGTCTATCCGCCTTAAACATTCTGCGCTAACTAAAAGCTAGAATAGTTCATTTAAAACGTTGCCGTATTATGAAGAAATAGCCTGGACTTTTAATCATTTATCGGGCTAAATTAAGAAGGCAACGAAGAGGAAGAAGAAAAAGAAGGAGAAGAAAACGATCATAGACAACGTAGACTTCTCGAAACGGCGGTATTGATCGACTCTTCACAGTCGACGCTCGTTATCGGTGTTTCCGTGCTTTTCCCCGTTCCATGAAGCCTTCAACCCCTTCCGTGAAACCGTCCGCCCCGTAAACAGCCTGTTTTATCTATCGCATCTCCACTCTCTCTCTCTTCCTCCCCCCCTCTCTCTCTCTCTCTCTCTCTCTCTCTCATTCTCTGTATATGTGAAATCCGTTCTGCCTCTGTCGCGTCGACTTCACGTTGATAATGATTGAAGTCCCGTGGAAAAAAGTTTGCCGGTCTGTCCGCTTTGGGCGGACAACCCCTCGGCCGAACTGGCTACTTTCGCGACGAGCGACAACTCTTGACGTTCAGTTACGTGAGACACACGCCACGAAAACCCTGGCCTTTCCGTCTGACAAGACAGATTGGTGGAAAATCGAAAGAGAGAACGCTAATGCGTAAGATGGATAGAACTGATATAACGAAGTTTGATATGTTTTTAACGGGATATTCCATATTGATGGGAAACGGGAAAAATTATTTTAAATCTGATCCTTTGGAATCTTCTTGAATCAAAATTCTTTTTAATAATATCTAGATGTAAATCTTTCATTCTTCTATAGAATTCGTTACTCTGAAAAATTCATTTTCCTAAAGTTCCTTTCGTAGAGAATTCGTAGAGAACACGTTCGTGAATGAAATCTCATTTTGCGGTTGAAAATTGCTGCTATTTTAATGTAGAACAATTCTGACGTATTTCTGTAGTCTTGCAATTTATTTAGTTTAATTCGATTAAAGTGACAGTGTATTTAAATCGAATAGATATAAATTGTTGGCTAGTATAAAATCGGTTGAACATAAATAATAATGAAGATGCGAATACTTTTCCCGATATCGAATGTGATCCGATTACAACTCCGTCTAATGATTTAGAAATCAAGAACTCCTGTCCCTTCTGGATAATAGAAATGAATTAATCAAATAACGATGTCAGAGAGATCGGCGACGGCGGCTTTGCAATCGATTGCATTAACTGCAATAATATCGGGAGATAAGTAGAGATGCGAAGGAAAACGCAAAGTTAATAAATCAGAACGTAAACAGTGTTGGCAACATTCACCGCCAACAGGAAGGCGTGCGTCCAAGAGTACGATTTGCTTAAATGCAGTCACCGAAATCTAGAATGATATTTTTAGCCCGCGCTAAGAAAACACCAGGCAGGTGTCTGTAAGCAGGTTCACGCCGATCATTTCGCGTCCTCAAAGTTTATTTACGCACATACGCTCCTCTTTGAACACACCGCGAAGATTCACACATCGCTGGGCAAACACATAATACATCAAACTAATGTTCCTTTACATCACAAACGATAGACCCAATTTCTTACGAAAATAATCTGATAATACATGTTCTTACTCTTTGATTGAACACAATAAACTTCATGGGAGAAATAACAATCGTGCCTAAATATAATAACAGATATAATAATGATAATTTGCCTAAAGTGAGTAAAATATTTCCGCATCGTGCAAAAGTAAATTCAATGTTTCGAAGTTTTTAATAAACGCCACGATAAAAGCCCATGTTATTATATTTCACATTTGAATGTAGAATTATGTTAAAAGTTTATGTAATACAGATCCAAAGGCAGTTGTATATAACGCCACTAATCACGCGAGTCAATTTATTATAAGATAGGCTCCTAATATAAGATAGCGGAGTTTCTGCTGAACTAATAGGCATCATCTGTTGGTTCCATCATTTTATTGGCCATGGAGTGAAATTTGTTTGGTGGAAAATTGATCGTTAGATCGTGTAAACGTTGCGTAAAAAGATTTGCGATTGAATTTGGACGTTGAAAACCTACTATCTCATAATAGAGGACTTTCTTCTATATTTATAAAATATCTCTAGTCTACTCTAGTATTATTGTTACAATACTAATACAGTATGCGACACCTACGTGGCTCACCGAACAAGAGACACGAGAGATCTCGCCGGTACTAGAAAACGCGTAAGCGTCTCCTACGACGAGATGACGTTGCGTGAAGGATGAAACGGGACAGTGGCAGACTGCCGGGCGTCGCGACGCCCGGTATCGAACCGTACGCGGCATTATCGTCAAATTCGCGAGAGGGAGGGCGACCGAGAGAGAACGCGTGACACGTGGTGTCTCTCCTGGCACAAACGTCACCGTCGCATTTTCTGGCATTCACCACGACTGCCGCGATTATGTCGATAAGTACGTCGAGTCGAGTGACATCATCGTTCTCACCGTGAACGAAAGTGTCCATTTACATAATTTACATAAGATTACACACTGAAAAAAATTTCTGGTTGAATATGGACGAATCAGATAATTCCTTTAGGATTTACCAGAATTCCTTTAGGATTTACCAGAATTTCTGTAGGATTACAGGAATTCTGGTAAATCCTAAAGGAATTATCTGATTCGTCCATATTCAACCAGAAATTTTTTTCAGTGCACTTTTATGATATACGTATCGGATCGCATTGATACAAAAATTAAATTACCATTCTATAAATATGTACAATTCGCAAGGACGAAAATTCACCGTGCAATATTTACGTTAGAGATATCATCTCTGAAACGGTGACGACTCTGCCGAGACATCGGACTGACGATTACCGAAGTAACGTTTCCATTTTCATACGTTCGTGTCTCGCTTCATCACTCGTGCCGAGAGCTATCTCCGTTGCTGATCAAGCCGTTCGGCGTCGAATCGTTAAATCGCCACCGGCTGATCGTCGCATGACCGTGCCTTTCATTCACGGCGACGACGAAGCGAGGCGGTACCGAATGCCAGAGACTGTGTGTGTGTGCTCGCTCGAATCGATAGCACGCGACGGTCAAGCCGCGCGGAAACCAACCCGTCCTCGTGCGGCACACGACTCATCGATCGACACCTTCCGCTCCTCCGCGACCACCGGTCCCCTCGGCACGAGTCTCGCGTCCGGCTCCTCGAGGGGGTCGCAGCCCCCGGAAGCCCGGAAGTCCGGAACCGGCAAGACAAGCCGGGGAGGAACATCGAGACGCGCGGCGGATGAATTTCGTCGGACACGCACGAGCGCGCGTTGTCGAGATGTTCGTTCGTCCATGCTTTCTGTGTTACAAGACTTGGTAAACTTTTTCACACTGGAAATGTTGCCGCAGGAATTGTGTAACACTTTTGTACAACCTCTCCTGATTCTTGTCGACGACAAGTGACACAAATGAATTAACGATATAGAATTCCTAATCCTTTACAAACTTGTTTTTTTTCTATCTCGTTTAAAGCGACTAATCGATTAATGAAAATGTTGCCAGCAAAGCGATAGCAAAGACGCGTTTATTTTATTAATAATTTGTAAGAAAATTTGTAAAAAGTATGGTAACAATAATGTAATTCATAAATACGATAAATATATGGTTCTGGTAAATTTGAGATTATTATTCGAGGCATCTTCCTGTCTGTTAAAGTTTCCAGTCTTTAACTGTCCAGTTACTATTGTTGCAAAAAAAGGTGAAATTATGTTATCATTTCGATATTGTTACGGAAGTACTCACGCTTCGAGGCATCTTCCTGTCTGTAAAGGTTTCCAGTCTTTAACTGTCCAGTCACTATTGTTACAAAAATGAGAAAGCACCAAGACGACACTGTTCTTCTCAACGCGTGAGACGACATAGTCATTTTATAATCGCATTACGATTGTTCGCACACTCTTCAGCTTCTTATTATATACTCGTCATCTATTATGTAATTTAAAATAAATACCGCGCACTTAACGTCCACGCTCTCGCTAAGGCGAGAGCTGCAACAAAAGACGCCGCGAGAGATATAACAAATTCCGTTGAGATCCCGAGCTCGTCCATTATTTTCACGACCCCATTCTGTCCTCCGGCCACCTCGGGACATCAATGATGTACACCGTGTGTCGCTTATCGCGACAAGCCGTGATCGATCGCCGGCGAAATCTGGCCTTTGCTGCCATCGAGGTGGTTCACGATCGACTGGCCTCGGCATCGGGGGATACTTCGATCGCGAGCCAGAAATCGCCCGACCGGCCGGGCCGGACGACGGTATTTCGCGGTGTCAGCGTAAAAAATCGACGTCTGGTCTCGCGCGCGAGCCCGTCGCCATGCGACGTCCGCCGCGTTCGATTTTCCCGGCAGTGGATCGTCGAATTTCGCCGGTGCGATATACGCGGCCGCCACCTCGCGCGTGCTCATTCGATCATCAAACGGTCAAGGTCGCGGCTCTAGTTGGTCGACGACTCGCCTCACTCTAGAGTTACCCCCCCTCTGTTCTCGATATTTTCCCTATTCTTTTTCGCGTCGCGGGAAAAGCGAGGGAGAATCTTGCGGGAGACGCGGAAAAGAATTTCCGCCGCTTCCCTCCCCCCCCCGCCCCCCTAAAATCTGAATCACTTTGGAAGTGTATTTGCTTACCAGGGAAATTGCAGCTCGATGCGTGTAAGTTCCTTTCCATGCGGCCACGCGATGCCTCTCGCATGCGTTGATTAATCAATGTGAAACAATGCGGCGCGCTGCGATCGGTTTCCGCGTAATTGAATTTTGCATTAAATCTAATTGCACTCGCGGCATCGTTTTGATGCGAAACGCCCGCGGTTACGGCCGCGGCGTCGTCGACAAGGCCGCGGCTCTAATGAGAGCAATCTGCAGTAATCGCTTTTGCAGCCTCATAAAAGCCGCAACGAATCACCCAAAGGCCAATCTCTCCCTCAATCACGATGCTCTCTTGCGCCGCGGTCCGTTCGATTGATGCATTTTACACACGGGAACAACTGTCGCGCGATTCATAGCACGATTGTTGCCCGACATAATCCGCCCTTGCATACGCGAACGCGAAAACGACGAGTGTTGCGAGGCGGGGAACAGTTTTCTACGATGCGACGCGCGCGAAAAGAATCTCGCCGCGATTGTGCGGGGGAAAGAAAAATATTTTGAATTATAGACTAAATAGAAACGCAATGAAATTCTCAGGACGTATTACGATGCATTCCCAGAAAAAGGCACGCGACATTATGCATGCAGGTATAACTTGGCATAAGCTCATCTATGCTTGTCCGATGCTCAATATTTCAACGGCTGAGGAATCTGTCACGTCTATCCAATGTAGCGCATATATCTAGCGGTATCAAGTACGTACGGCGGTACATGAACATGTCATACGTCTGTCACGCTGCACGGTATAAAAAATATAGTCTTGGGGAACCTGCAATATTTACGTTGCGAGCTGCATTTAAGGCTAATTACCGAGTTATCTGGCGTTTGATGTTTCGCAATCGAAAACATTGCTCGAGCCCGATGCTATATTCGGCGCTTTATACAAGGGAGAGTAATCGGCGTGACGCAATGCGGATGCTGGGTATACGGTTGCGGCTCAGATTATGCGATTGGGCAATGAAATTTATACGGCAGATTATATACAGGGCCGGGATAAACGTGACGCGCGATGGCGAGCATCCCACGACGAAGGGGAGGCCTAATCCTCTGTTACGGCGCACGCACGACCCCTTTATTAACACGGCTGCCATAACGGCAGCCGTAACGACCGAATAACAGAATATTATAAATAAGTCGGTATAGCACGTGAATTTTATTACCGCGCGAATTGCCATCCAACACGCGCTGAAGACACAACGATTCGCCATATTGATCTAATCGCTGTGCGATAATGCAATCGCTATATCTACGCGCGTTACTGCACACGCGTCGTACAACGTTACGTACGAAGTGAAAGGAATATTAAATTTACTCGCTATTATTACATTGACTGATTAAGTTAATTAATTGATACATTTTATTTACTATTTTTCAAGTAACATTTAGACGCTAACATCCTGTCACGGCTCTTTAGTCCTTGTTCCTTCGAAATTGTGTTTACCGCAGTAAAGCCTCATGGATTATATTAATTTGTTAATTAATTAAATTAAAACAAAGACAGGCTCGTGTCGAAGTAATCGCGAATAGCGGTACAGAGGCCGCTGATATAGACGAGCGACAAAGTTAAATAATTAAATGTAATTAAGAACAGAAGTGCATACGAGCAATTAAAATAGCGGACGTTTCGACATACATTGTCGTTTTCAGGGTAATAAATAATCGCAAGAAGTAAAAGTTACACGAATTAAAAAAATTAAATTAATTTCAATATTCATTTATCGAGTATTATTTAATTTCGCAGGAGTTTAATGAATAAGAGAGACAGTACGTTCTTTATTTGTTAATCGAACCTGGCTGTCTACACTGAGAAAAATGTGCGATTAAATGCAGTCGGATAATCCAATTACATAATAACAAATGGACGTATTCGATGAAAAGTATGATCGGTTTTTCGATCAAATAAATTTCATCGGACGTGTCCAAAATTTAATCGGACAAATTTAATCGGACGGAAACTTTTCTCAGTGTACTTTTGAGAATTTGTGAAGAAGGTGCAGACACATTTTTCTTGCGACACTCAAGGGCGCCTCCCTGGGTACCGCGGCTAAAAGGGCGACTACGGGGATTAGCGCTATCGCGTTATGCATACACACGTCGACGAGAGGCGGCTCGCGCTACCTTGGCTCAAATAATCTCGCGCTGTGATCCCGGCGAGATAAGCTTGCGCGACTAGATAAGGGCGTAATGGGGAAACTATGCGAGGAATCCGTCAGCGCATACGTTCGCGTCGCGAACAATGGCGCTAACGCGCTGCGTCAATGTTTGATACGCCGGGCGGCTGGTCCCTTGTCTAAACGAGATTAGGCTATTTTCCACGCTCTCTCGCGTGGACATCCCAGTCAGTCAGGTGCCGCGGCTGACTGCGGCGCGAGGATTTCTAAATCCGCCCGGTTCTATTCTTAATAGAGGTGCCGCGCCGCGATTCCCTCCGCTTCTCCCGCTCGATCGGCTTCGTTCTTTATGGCGCATCGAGGACTCATTCTCTAGGAAAACCCACGCGCGACGCTAGCTCGTTTTTCTCCTGGCGTGGTCCAATTTTAAGGGGACAGTGCTTTTATGCAGAAGCACGCCGATATTATTCAGCTCCTTCGTGTAAGAGACGCGACATCCGTCTATGTTTAATGCCTATTAAAATGTAAGAGGCGGTCGGCGATTTTATTTATTTGATACCGCGAACGAATAAACATCCTGTATTTTGTATGAAAATGCAGCATTGATACAGGAATACCGCCTGCGCTGCATGCAACGCGAACGTTAAAAATCGGAGGAGAAATATCAATATTTAGTACGGTGGGAATGTTGCATGCATCTCTATCGGGTTACTCGATCGGCAATTGAACACGCGTCGCGGAATGATTCATTCGTGTAAACAGGTGAGATATAAAATCGTAATCACAAGTCTCGCGTTATTTTTGCACGCGTCAGTTCATAACGCGTTCAAATATTTAAGCGCCAATCGCGAAACGCGGGGCCACCGAACAATTTACGCGACCATCCGCAAGACCATCCCGTGCACGCCGGCTATTGATCAAGCTGCTCATCGAGCCAGAGATATTTATTGGTATGTTCACAGATACTTCCCATTATCGACAGATGCGTTAGCAAGTGATTCCACATTCGAGAAATTGACGGGACAGTACTCTGGGTGGAAAGACTGCAATCCATTTTGGGGCCCACAATTAGTAATCGAATTATTTGGATTCCCGGGGAAAAAAAGCTGTATATCCAATTTTATCTAACTGTATCAAATGATGTCAGATGTGACAAAATTTGATCGGATTATGTCCAAATTTTAATGCATCCATTTATAAGTATATCAAATCAGATGTGGTCAGATATAATCAGATAAAACGGTACAAACATCTGACTGTATCTGATCACACCTGATTTCATGTACTTATAAATGGATCCACTTCTAAAAAAGGCATGTAAGTCGATTAGGCTGTCTCGCTTGTGCGATACGACATGCTTCAGTCGTGTTATTTGCAGCTGTCAAACCATGCGAATTTTTAGAGAGAGCAAATGGCGCGCGCTTGTCCCTTACTAAAAAAGAGATGTTACCAGCGCGAATGTCGTTAATATCGAACAGTTAAGGCCCTTCTCCGCGATGCCGATTGATTTTCTCGAAGCGCGATGTGCTTCACTTCTCTTTTAGGTTCAGAGTAAATGAAGGTTTACAATACTAGACATGACAGAACGCGCGCTTCGCGTGCACTGTTTGTGGTCGAGCATTGTGTATTTTTAAGAATTTGTACACACGCGAAGAGAGAGAGAGAGAGAGAGAGAGAGAGAGAGAGAGAGAGAGAGA